GAGAGAGAGGAGAGAGAGAGAGAGATAATAGAGAAGAGACGGAAAGAGAGAGAGAGAGAGACGGAACAAAACATGGAAAAGAGAGAGAGAGAGAGAGAAAGCGAGGAAGAGAAAAAGAGACAGAGAGAGAGAGCATTGAGAGAGAGAGAGAGAGAGAGCGAGACTGCGAACGCGTGCAAAATTCTCAACTCTCACTCACGTATTTTGCCCTGCGCGCTCCGCCACGCGACGCGAACCGGGCGGGTCGTGGCCCGCAGGCCGCCCTCGACATCGTTTCGGGCATCTTCTGGCCCGAGTCAATCCAGACCCGGGTCAGTCAGGCCTTGACGGGCCCTGAAAGATCCTGAAGGATCCTGCGCCCAAGCCCGGGCCGTTGCAACCCTGGCTCTGCAGGATATCGCAAGATCTGGCGCTCTGACTGCCCCCACTTTGCATGGACCCCTGTCTCTAGAGCCCCGAGCGCTGGCACTCTAGGCGGCCAGACCCCTTAGGCCACACCAAAAGCGATGAGGGCGATGAAGATGACGATGGAACGGCAGCACCTTTTCCCCGCTGGCCGACGGCGCCTGGCGGGCCCCACCGCGGGGTTCGGGCTCCGCGGCCGGGCAATCTCGCCACGGCCGCTGGCCCCATCCCGCGTGCTCTTGCCCACCTGGCCGCCACGTCTCGGGCCAAGCGGCCCGCCTCAAAGGCCCCCGCCCGCGCTGGAGGGGGATCCTGGCCCCGGCCCTCCATCCACAACTGGCGCTGCAAGCTTCCTCGTCGTCTCGGACGCAGCAGCCGTTACCGCCGCCCGGCTGCCCCTCGCCCTCAGCCTCAGAGGCCCCTCCAGCCACGTCCTGCTCCCCAGACCATGGCACGGTCCGTGGCTGCCGACCTGCTGGCCGCCTCTCCGCCATGCCCCTCGCCTCCCACAGGTGGCCTGGGAACGCGTCGCTCTTCCAGCGCCCTCGCCGCCACGCAATCGCGGTGCCCGTGAAAACCCTTGCGCAGGGCGGACTCGCCACCGATCCTCAGGCTCTGGGAGCCGAGATCGTTGGGATCGACCTTTTCCGTCAGAACGCCTACATGACCACCCTTCGGACGCCCGCCTGGGCGCCGATCCTGTCGTCGTCGACGCCGAAAGATCGGGCCCTGCATCCCCGCGCCTGAGTAGCTCGCGCGCCCACCCCTTGTAGATTGCCAGCGGCTCCGACGCGGAAAGGCGCCAGTCCGCCACCTCTCCTGCTGCCGCGTCGACCTCGACCCTGAAGTGGTTGCGTCACGGTTGCATTGGTCCGTCCTGCTGGCCCAGATCTTGATCACTACCTCGTCGCGGCGGGCCAGCTCCAGCACGGCTCGCCCGCGGTATTTAGCGTGACGCTCACTCCTCTCAAACCCTGGCTGCCCGCGAAGACATTCTGGTCGCCTGACACGCGCTCGCTGGCCCGAAGTAGAAGAAGCCTGTCGCCACCGCCACCCAGAGGGGCCGCACCCTCTCTGGACTTCTCTGTCTGCGGCTTATTCTTGATCCACCTCATCATCTTCGGCGTCGCCAGCTTGTCTCCCTTCGGAGCCCCGTCGCGCATCCGGAGGCCGTCAATAGCCATCCAGAGCCTCCCCGCGCCCGCCGTCAGACGATGCCACTGGCCCGGCAAAAGAGGGCCCGCCACCGCCAGCCCAAACTGCGGGACTGCGAGGTTTGAGTGTGGAGCTCGTCAGCTTGACCAAGGTAAGCTCCAACTTGGCCTTGTCCTAGTCCTCTCGGGTCTTCAAATCCGCCAGGATCGGGTCGTCCGGCTTCGCCTTAGCCATGATGCCCGCCAGGCCCAGCAGGTTCGGCGGAGCCGCCACCTGCGCGGCACGCGTCCCGACCTGTTCCTTAAAACATTATTGTTGTATGTAGGCGCCCGCATTCCCTGCCTCCGCCTCCTCGAGCATCAAGGCCTCCAAGGCCCAGTCGAACCATCCCGCCCGCTGGTTCGGGTGGCCCCCAAACTGCTCCTGCGCGTCGTGCTGCTCCAGCGATCCGTTCCTCTGGCTGTCGCCCTCGCTACACCTGGCGAGCATCTGCAATTGAAGCAAGATGCAGCTGCGCCCGCTGGCGGGCGCTCCAGGTTCTCAAGGTAGGCCGTCTGGCCCCGGCTCTGGCTCTGGCCCCAGCCCCTGCCCCAGCCTCGGCCCCAACTCCTGCCGGCCCTGGCCCCGGCCCCGGCCCCAGCCCCCGCTGCGGCCTCGGCTCTGGCCCGAGCCCTGGTCCTAGCCCTGGCCGTGGGGGTCCAGGGCCCCGGTCCTGTCGCCTCCAGATGCGCGCCAGGGAGAAGATACACGGCTCTCCTCCTCCTCCTCCTCCTCCTCCTCCTCCTCCTCCAACTCCTCCTCCTCCTCCACCTCCTCCTCCTCCTCCTCCTCCTGCGCCTCCTCGTCTCCATCAGCAGCATCAGCATCACCATCATCATCAGCAGCAACAACAGCATCATCAGCATCATCATTGGCATCAGCATCATCATCATCAACAGCATCAGCATCAGCATCATCATCATCATCACCCACCATCATCATCATCAACAGCATCATCATCATCGACGTCATCATCAGCATCATCATCATGATTATCAGCATCGTCACCATCAGCAGCAGCATCATCATCCTCATCATCAGCATCATCATTGATATAATCAGCACCATCATCATCGCCATCGTCAGCAGCATCAGCATCATAAGATTCATCATCAGCATCATAATATGGATCTTCATCATCAGCAGCACCGTCAGCAGCATCATCAACAACATTATCAATCATCGTGATCATCATCATCATCAGCAGCAGCATCATCAGCATCGTCGTCGTCATCATCAGCATCATCAGCTTGAGAATCATCATTATCAGCATCAGCATCGTCAACAGCATCATCATCATCACCATCACCATCACCACCAGCATCCTCATCATCAGCATCATCATGAACATAAGCATCATCAGAATCTGAAGCAACATCATCATCATCAGCATCACGTTCATCAGCATCATCACCAGCATCATTATCAGCATCAGCATCAGCATCATCGTCATCATCATCGTCGTCGTCGCCATCATCATCATCATCATCATCATCATCCTCCTCATCCTCCTAATCATCATCACCATCATCAGCATTATCATCATCATCGTCTACATCATCACCATCATCATAATCATCAGCATCATCAACAACATGATCAATCATCATCATGGGCATCATCAGCATCATAAGCATCAGCATCATCAGTATCGTCGTCATCATCAGCATCATCAGCATGATAATCATCATCAGCAACGTCATCATCATCACAATCACCACCATCATCATCATCAGCATCATGAACATAAACATCATCATAATCAGCAGCATCATCATCAGCATCCTGAACATCATCAGCATAATCAGCATCATCGGCAGCATCAGCATCAGTATCAGCATCATCGTCATCCTCATCCTCATCAGCATCATCATCATCACCATCAACATCCTCCTCCTCCTCTTCATCATCATCATCATCATCATCATCATCATCAACATCCTCATCATCATCCCCCTCCTCCTCCTCCTCCGCCTCCTCCTCCACATCCTCTTCCTTTATCCTCCTGTTCTCCTCCTCCTCCTCCGTTTCCTTCTCCTCCTCCTCTTCTTCCTCCTCCTCATCTTTCTCCTCATCCTTTTTCCTCCTCCTCCATCTCCTCCTCCTCCTCTTTCTCTTTGTCTTTTCTCCTCCTCGTCCTCCACTTCCTGCCCATCCTCCTCCTCCTCCGCCTACTCCTCCTCCTCTTCCTCCTCCTTTCTCCCGTCTTAAAACATGCGATTGTTTCACGGATGGAGGGCGGTTCCTGTTGAGAATGCAACTCTCGCCTTAGCGCCGCGCGCGTTCGTTTTAAACATGTGCAAGAGCTTCACGGATGAAGAGCGATTCCTTTTCAAAAAAAGGCTCTCACCTTAGCGCCGCGCACATGAATCTCAAACATTTGCAGCAAGTTCAAAGATTAGCATGGCTAACGTCCGAGACATGATGATTTGGTACGATGCCAGAATGTCAGGGCGCGCAGCAGTCCAGCTGATTCGCGGTAAGTCCCAGGAAGGGTTCTCTAGCACGACTCATGATCGTCAAGATGCAACAATCAGGGTGATTCGTGGCGTTGAGGTCCCTGAGGTGGTGTTCTGGCAAAATTCCGGATGTTCAAACAGTTGTGTTCCAACGGGGCTCCTGCTCATCCTCCTCCTCCTCCTCCTGCCCCTCCTCCTTCTCCTCCTCCTCCTCCTGCCCCTCCTCCTCCTCCTTCTCCGCCTCCTCCTCCTTCCCCTTCTCCTCCTCCCCCTCCTCTTCCTCCTCCTCCTCCGTCTTCTCATCCTCCCTCCACAGCCCGCCCCATGTCCCGTTCTTGTGGCAGGGTCATCAGCTAGTCGATGTCGTTGTCGTCGTGGTCGTCGTCGTCGTGGTCGTCGTCGTCATTCTGGGTCGGCGGCACTGGCCGTGGCAATAACTCCTGCTTGTCGCACCCCGAGGCTGGTTCAAAAGGCCGGCCGGGCGTTTCGCTGGAGACTCCCCCACAATAAATGATCCTGAAACTTGAAAAGATTCAACAGTTTCACGGATGGAGGGCGGTTCCTTTTCAAAATGTGGCTCTCGCCGTAGCGCCGCGCACATTCGTATCTCAAGTTTGCGAGAGTTTCACGGCTGGAAGGCGCCCGCTTTCAAAATATATCCCTCGCCTTAGCGCCGCGCATACTCATCTAACAGAAAGTGCCAGAGCTTCGCGGATTGAGTGCAATTCCTTTCAACATGTGGCTCTCGCCTTAGCGCCGCGCACCCTTCCTTGAGAATGAATCCTTGTAGGGTCCTGTGACGAGGGAACTTGGAGGGAGGGTTTCTTGCAATATCGTTGATGAGTCTTGGGTTTGCACTAGTCGCCCTCCTCCTCCTCCTGCTTCTCGTCGCACTCTTCCTGCTGGCCACGACTCGGCGATTCATGACCAACGATGCGCGGCCTGGCGCGACCGCCCCTGGACTTCACGTTGCACATCGCCGCCGGTGGCCGCAGCTCGAAGAGGTCGTCGATGTTTCTGAGGACCAGGGTGTCCAGGTCCAGGAACACGACCTGCAGCCCGGGCCAGAGGGACCGCCGCCCCAGTTTTGACGCGAGAATCTCACGGGGCACGAGCAGTCACGGGTTTCTCCAGCTCTTCGATTGAGCTGCAGACGGCAGCAGTGCGCGAGCGATCTACAACCAAAGTTGGGTGGCGATGGAATCTGGCGCCACGTATCCTTGTGACCCGTGCGGGCACAACACCAGAGCAGGCGTGCAGCCCAGGGGTCAAGGCCACCACTACGCGGCCGGAGCCGCTCGCGCGAAGATGGGCGGGGCGCGACAAAGTCGTCCCTTCGAGCCAACCTAATTGCCCTTAGTGCGCACGCTGAAATTAGTGTTCGGGCACTCTGCTGAGGACAAGGGCCAAGGCTCTCAGGGCCCTTCTGTTTTGTTAGAGGATGCGAGACCCTTTCTGCTACTCCTGCTCCTCATATTGATACATAATAGTCAGAATCAACATCATCAGCACCAGCATCAGCATTATCATCAGCATCAGCATCCGCATCAGCATCATCATAATCATCAGCAGCAGCAGCATCAGCATCAGCATCAGCAGCATCAGCATCTTTATCACCATCGTCATTATCATCAGTGATCAGCAGCATCGGCACCTTCTCTTTCTCCTCCTCATTCGCCTACTCCTCCTCCTCATCATCATCATCAACAGAAGCATCAGCATCAGTATCAGCATCAGCAGCAGCAGCATCATCATCATCATCACCATCATCGTCATCATCAGCACCATATCATCATCATCATCGTCATCATCATCATCATCAGCATCATCATCATCATCATCATCATCATCATCATCATCATCATCATACTCATCATCATCATCATCATCATCATAATCAGCATCATCAGCAGCATCATCAGCATCAGTATCATCATCAGCATGGTCACCGCCACCATCATCTTCACCGTCACCATCATCATCACCAGCATCATCATCATCATCATCATCACCGTAAGCATCATCATCAGCATCATCAGCATCAGCATCAGCAGCATCATCAGCAGCATCATCATCAGTATCATCATCATCAGCATCATAATACCCATCATCATTATAGTCAACATCATGACCAGCATTACCATCATCACAATCATCCGCAGCATCATCATCAGCATCAACAGTATCGGCAGCAGCAGCATCGACATTATCATCATCAGCGGCATCATCATCATCACCACCACCATCGTTATCAGCATCAACATCAACATATCAGCATCAGCATCAGTATCAGCGTCATCACCGTCATCAGCATCATCATCGGCAGCAGCAGCATCAGCATCACCAGTATCATCATCATCTTCATCATCATCAGTATCATCAGCATGCTTATCATCATCAGCAGCATCATCATCGTCATCAGCAGCATCGTCATTCTCATCATCGGAACCATCAGCAGCAACAGCAGTAGCGCCAGCACCATCAGCATCATCATCATCATTATCACCACCACCATCACCATCAACACCATCATGTTCATGTTCATCACCACCATCGTCATCATCATCACCAGCACCATGATAATCATCATAATCATTACCTACCACCACCATTATATCATCTCATATTCACGCGCAGCATTAGCATCAACACTAGCATCAGCATCATCAGTATCGCTGTCGTCGTCGTCCTCCTCTTCCACCTCCTCATCAGCAGCAGCAGCCGCATTATCATGACCACCATCATCACCATCACCATCACCAACATCATCATCATCATCATCAGCAGCAGCAACATCATCATCGCCATCACCATCATCATCAGCAGCATCATCACTGCCACCAGCATCACCATCATTGTGAGCAGCAGCATCATCGTCAGCATCATCAAGATCATCGTCATCGTCATCGTCATCGTCATCTTCACCTTCACCATAATCAGCATCAGCAGCATCAGCGCCAGCGTCAGCATCATCATCATCAGCATCATCATTACCATCAGCATCACCATCATCATCGTCATCATGATCATCATCAGCATCCCCTTCATCCACCTCGCTGGCGAGCGTTGTGCTTAAGCCCTCCATTACACCCCCCGTTGGGACAGCAGGTGCGGTATACTAGAATCGGGGATGGGCAGAACCCCCTTTAGTAAAACGTGGTTTAGTGAAAACGACCTCGGGCCCAAAACTGGCGGGCGCAAGCCTGGAAAATGACGGCCGCGGCGCCCTCTTGAGGACCGAAAACGGACACTAATCGACGTGTCAGAGTGGGGGTTCTGTCCACCCCCGATACAATGCCTGACGGCTTGACCAGCTGATCCAGTACTTGGCCTCAACCGGTCAAAGCTGATGGAGGCGGAAGCGAGAGGGGAGGGGGCGGTGGAGGACGAGGAACAAGAGAGAGGGAGGAGATTAGGAGAAGGAGGAGGAGGCGGAGGAGGAGGCGGAGGAGGAGGACGAGGAGGACGGAGGGGGAGAACGAGGGATAGCGCAAGCATCTGGCGTGTCCGAAAGAGTGCTGGTCGAGAATCCAGACCCCGCCTGCGACCGCGGGGAGGATGACCCCCACCTCCCTATCCTACCACAGGTCCTCCCAGCGACTTTGGCATCGAGCGGAAGGAGTGGAAGGCGAGAAGGTGCGGCGAAGAGCCCCCTAAGGCAGGCAGGCGGGCACGCCGGACACCTTGTCGTACGGCAGCACGGCCGGGTTGAAGATGTGCAGCTTCGTGAACACCTGGCTTCGGGCGGGGCGGGACCGCGAGCGGGAGCGGGAGAGCCCGCTGCATCCCTCCCCCGACATTGTCGCGTTGCGGCCTGCAGGCGCACTGCAACCAGCGCAGGAATCACCATTGCGCGTGGCGGCAAAGGGTGGTGCATCGCTTCGAACATGCAACATTCCTGCCAGACAAGCACCAGCGATGCGGGCACGAGAAAAGTTGATAGCACACGGCAGGTCGAGTTGATGAACGAATCGTTACGATGAGCCGAGAGAAAATGCTACAGCGAGTCAGAGCGAAAGCAATGAGAGTCGTATAGATGAAGGGTATCGCTGACATCAACACAAACGACGGAAACGAGCAACAGACTTTCTATTTTGGGGCCCAGCTATCACCCGGAGGTGAATTCGCTGCGAATCATCATCCTGCTCCTGGCCCACTACACGTGCCGACAGGTTCGCGGACGCCGAGAAGCAGGAGGCCGACGAAGAGAACGAGAAGAGACGGCAAGATGGAACGGAATGGAGAAGAAGGGAATGCCCGAATGGGAGTGCACAGCACTCAATATGCCAATCAACCAGACTTGTAAGAAAGAAAGGTGGGGGCGACAGCCCCGCAAGAAGTCGCAAAGCAACTCGTGGCGTCCAAACCTAGAAGGACAACGAGAACGGAGCGGGCGAAGGGCAAGAGATCAAAAAGAACAGGCGTCGCCCGCCCCGCTTTGCTGCCTCCTTGAATTTGGCGGATTCGTAGGGCTGCGTGTGCAAATCTGGCGCCGACATGATGTATGGCACCTGTTCGGCCAGAGCTCGGATGTCACTGGGATGCCTTACACATCCCAGGTTTCATCCACTCCTTATTCATCCGACCGCGTTCCACATTTTTCAGAGTACCCCTCCATGCTTCCTCTATTTCTCAAACTCTCTTTTGTTCAAGGGTTCCATGCACTTCGTCACAACCGCAACGCCTCCACTCGCCGGTCACCGCTCGAGCGAGCGAGCATTACGCTCGAGAGAACTCGTCGCTGCATCACACTCTCCTCACACCGACCAGCCGCATCTGGTGGATCCACGCGCTGGAGCGATTGGGGGGGGGACTGGCTCTGGGGGCCAGGGAGGGGAGAGGAGCATCGAGCTGGAATCAGCAATACATCGCCGATGGGCCCCCGATAGCGAAGACGCACGGGAACGCGCGGCCAGCAACCGCAGTCCCTGAGGAGAAGAGAAGCCGCGGCCCGCACGGCCCTGGGTGCGCCTCCTGCAGGCGCCACAGCGTGGCGAGAAGCCGCCGCGACTCCTCCGGCCGCGCCGCCAGGCGGTAGGCTCCCGTCCCGGCGGGGGGATCGGGGGGGTGGAGAGGTGGGGTGATCACTCGCTGGCGCAAGTGCCAGCGAAGGGCGCTCAGGCCACTTCGAGAGATTTGAGCGCGCCCTCTCGTCTGTGAGGCATCTACTGGTGTGCACTCCAGATTGGGGGGCGATCTGGACAGTAGCGGCGAATGGCGAGTAGCCTCGGACGAGGCCGAAGTAATGGATGTGCATAGGGTTTTGCATGGGGCTCCAGCTCGCTAGGCCCCCCCAAATGCCAATCAAGACATCCGCCACCAGGTCTACGTGGCACTTCGATGTCCCCAGCAGAGGCCACAGTCAAGCGGATGATGCTGTCGCTGGATGCAGCATCAGCTTCATGGACCCAGAACATGCAGCAGCATGACCGCACAACAGGAGGCAATGGATATTTCACGACGCAGCACAACGCGGAGGAGAGAGACCATCCCGCAGGGCGTGGGGAAAGACTCGTCGAATGCTGAGGCACAAGTATGCGGCATCAGTGAGGCGTACAAACTGTTTGACACTGCTTGGCTCGAAAAAGGCGAAGGAGGGGAACGGCAGAAACCGAACGCTCGAATATTGTAATACACAGGGGAAGGATGAGAGGGACGAAAGAAAGGAGAGGAGGGGGACAGCTGCAAACCACCCCCGAGCGTTCTGAGGTAGGACGGCAGTTCGCGACCTCAAATCGTCCAGCCACCGAGCGCATACAACGTGGCATCACGATTATGCGAAGGAGGACATATTCAGGACGAGGAAGCAGGCCTGAAAGTTTACATTGCGGTTGCGCTCCAAGATATATCAAAAAGAACGGTGAATGAATCTTGTAATGGCCCAACGAATTGCTAGAATTAACATCGACAACTCACACAAACAAAAACCCGCAAGCCACTTGAGTTCACAAGCGGAGATTTGAGAGGCCCCCATGCCGCTCAAATTCAAATGCGGAGTGATCACAGCAATAGCTCGCCCTCCTAAGTCTGGAGGGGCAGCCGTGAGAGTTAGACCGCCCAATAATGCCCCAGGTATCATAAATGCTGCCCACGGTAGCCCAAAAAGGTTTCCAACATTATTTGCAAGATGGCGCCGTGTTGCTCCACATCGTCTCCACCCTACGAACCCCCGAAACCGCTGCAACATGGACCGAAGTTGGCACGGAGCCTCCCAAAGATATCCCTAAGATTCAGCGGTGAAACACTGTCCACATCTGTTTTCTTCGGGATGCTGGCATTCTCGCACTGTCGTTTCCGATGGGCCTCCGAGGCATCTCAAGATGGACCCACCATGGTGGGGCCCAGAAGTGCCACCAGAGGGCCCCGAAGGCCCCATGAACACCCGAGAGGGTCCCAAAAGGCCTTCAAGAGGCAATTTGTCGGGCCCCCAAAAGGGCGACACTGCTTGAGAGTCCCGCCCCCTTTTGATCGATGATACCCGCGGTGGCTCACTAGGACCCAAACGCCTTCAAGAGGGCCTAGAAATAGCTACAAAAGGGTCCCACTGGCCCCCAAAGGAACCCCGAAAAAAACCCAAAACGGCCCCAAATGACCCCCGCAACCCAAATCGAACAAACAACGTCGGCGCAGTCGGAGTTGGGAGGAGATCCTGCGCCGCGAGTAGCGCGAGAAGGCAGGGGCACCTCGGGCCACGGACACCTCTGTCACACCCTTGCCATTCTGCCCCCAACTGCCCCACTCCCACGGCCTCCTCACCCCCGCCAACCTTCGGCTCTGCGCACGCGCACTCCACAAGTGTTGCCCCCCACCGCGGCCCGCCCGCTGCGCGCGCATAAGGCGCGCGCCGCTGCCCGACCGTGATCCACCGGCGCCAAAGAGTGGGAGAGAGGATTTTTCCCAGGGTTTCCTACAGGTCAGCGACCTAAGGAGTGGGAGAGAGGAGGAGGGAGGGAGGGAGGGAGGAGGGAGGGAGGGAGGAGGCAGAGGAGGAGGAGGAGCCGAGCGTGCCGAGGCGCGCGGTCTTGCCTTCCGCCGGCGCCAGCCGCGCGCCCCCGCGCACGGCCGCGCGCGGCCACCGCGCCTAGCCCCTGCTCACACGGGCGGGCGCACCAGGTACGTGTACTTGATGATGAACGTGCACCGCAGCTCCCGCACGGGGAAGAGGAGCACGCTGAACACGAGGCGGGCAGCGCATCGCCCGCGACGCACGCAGCGCCGCCCGCGCCGCAGAGCGCAGGGTCTCCGCGTCGACGCTGTTCTCCATTCGGAGCATGCGGTAGGCGCCGCAGGCGATGACCACCCGCTCTATGTTCTCAATGCTTGTGTCCAGCAGCGCGAGGTTCGCCGCGGCCTCGGCCTGGACGGCGGCACGGGTCGCCGCCGCAACGGCTGCAGCCAGCGGGGCGCGCGTCAAGTAGTGCTTCTCGGAGTCGGCGCCGACGGTGTACAGGAAGATACAACGCCTGCGCCCGCACTCGTAGATGATCCTGCTCGAGGTCAGCCACGGGAGAAAGAGTCCGCATCCACGCTGCGGCCCACGACGGCGGCAGCTTCTTCATCGCAGTCTTCACCCTGTCGAACACCTCGGAATCGTTCTCGAAGGTGCCCGCGAGGCCGGGCAGCTCGATCATGAGCCTCTTCGCGAGGAACGCGCCGATCTCGTCCGCGCCCAGTGCGCCCCTCGCAGCACCATGTGCCAGCCGCTGGACACGGGCAGGCTCGCCTGCTGCGAAAGACGCCCTCGCGGCCTCGACGGCAGGGGCAAGCAGCGCGGACGGGCAATAGCGGTGGTCCGTCTCCGCAGACACAATCTGGTGGAACGTTTCGACGAAGGGCGGCGTCTTCCACTGAGGCGGTGAGAGATACTGTGCAGCACGAGCAACGCCCAACAAGGTCTGGCCATCTCCGTACTGGCACAATCCCTGGTGAAGGCGTTTGCGGATCTCGGGGAACTTGTGGAAGGTGGACGTTGCGGCACGGACGACCGTGGCAATCATCGCGAGCTGCGTGGACCGTGGCGCATGCACGCCCCAATCCCGCAGCCTTGGCCAGTCCGACCCTGCGCGCGCCGCTGGGGAAACCCAGGACTGATGCGTCGACCCAGTTCTAAACTTTGAAGGACTCGTGGGGCAGCAGCGCGCACTGGGCTAAGTGGCTGAGGACAGGGAAAGCACGGCTGTTGAACCGTTGGGCGGGGCCCATCGAAGGCGCGTCGCTGGCGCTGTACCTCTTGGTGCGCCAGCGGAGCTTCTGGAAGGCCTCCGCGTAGATCGAGCTCTCGGTCGCTCCAGGCCCCAGGAGAAGACCGAGGTTGGTCAGGCTGTCGCAGATGTTCAATTCCTGGAAGCGAGGGGCGATCGCGATCAGGGCGCCGACAGGGCCCGCAAGCAGGATGACGTGGCACTCGGCAGGCTTCAGCGCGAGGCCCGCCAGGTCATCCACAAGGACCACCATCCCCTCCAAGTGCGCGAGGTGGGCGACCGCCGCAAACAGGCACAGCCCGCAGCCATTGAGCTCGAGCTGCTGCTCCAGGTCGAAAAGAAAGCAGGCGGCGCCCATCGCGTAGAGAGTGCCGCTCCACCCGCAGCCCTGAATGATGCCAGAGCGGATGTAGAAGAGCGGGACATACGAGCCCGCGCACGGGGCCATAGCGATAATGCCGTGGCACATCGAGTCGAAGAAGTGCAGCGCAGCCGCGGCCGCCCCCATGGCCTTCAGCGCGAGGCGGATGAACTGGTGGGCGAAACTCGGGAAGGCCTGCGCGATGTCCAGCGACACCCGCACCGGCAACTTGGGCATGGCGGCGGGGTCGGCGGATGCGATGCGGCTTTCGACGCCCAGCTCTAGGAAGGCAGCCGAAGTTGCGGCGGTGGATGAAGCCACGCTGCGACGTCGGTACCACATCAGCGGCCACCGCGGCCATCGCAGCGTTCATGGCACCGCTGATGATGTTGAGGGAAGTGTTCCGAAGCCCAAGGACGCGAACTTTGGGCGGGCCACGGAGGCAACCGATGTGCTCATCGCCATCAGGTTCTTCCCCTTTTGGAACCGTCGCGCTGGCTTCGTCGGGGCGCAGGCTGCCGCCGAGCACCCAGGTCATGACCTGCCAGAGAGTCTCGGCACAGTTCTCACGCGCGGACCAGGCGATGTAGGGGGGCCCGTCCAGGCCAGGGGAGGTGGACGAGGACCTGCGCGCGAACCTCCCGAGCGCGTCGTAGTCGGGGGGGCATGTAGTTGTTAAAATCGATCTTGGGCGCGCATCGGTCAACGTAGATCCCGGCCGCCTCAGCGCCCACAGTCTTGCCCTGGAAGACGGGTTGTCAGTGCAACATCAGCTTCAGCAGTCTCTCAGTCGGCCCCGCCACTGCCCCAGCAGTTGTCTTCACACCAGTGAGCACTAGGCGTTTGCTAATCGGGCTCAAGAGCTGGACCTTGCGGCGCAGAGATTGGGACTGGGCTCGGGCTTCGGCATGGGGAAGGCGCCCTCGCTGTCGAGCCAGATCAATGGCAGCTTGTCGTTGATCCGCATCTTGGCGGAAGATGGCACTGGCCCACTCCCAAACGAGGGCCCGCGAGCTTGATCCGGTCAATGCTGATGTCGAGGATATCTTGAGCTTTCGCATGGACGCGGAGGAGTCTGGCTGCCAGCTTGCGATCCTGTCTTCGGACCGCACGAGCGATCGATTTGGCCAGCTGGAGCTGGACATCCCCTTGTCCAAGATTCTCTCCATGAATGCGGTCTCGTGCGGCACGGGCGACTTATCGTGGCAGTTCTGCGTTCTGTGGCAGTCTGCCTGGCGGCGATAGCTTGTCGAGGTTGGTCCAGGAGAACACCTTCTCCGCAATCTGCTAGAAGATGGGGGACTTGAAGATGCACTGGGCAACCGGCTGGTTCTTCTCAGCCGTGAGGTCACGCATGGCGAAGGAGACAAGAACTGCGGCATGGTCGCTGACCCGACGGCGGGACAGCAGCCCCGGGGTGGAGAAGGTGGCGGAGGCGACGGCGAGCTGGA